AGATGCCAGTCACAGGCGATGGCGAAACGTTAGGAAACAAAACTTCCAGAACATGGCCACACAGCCCGGAAGACCCACACCAGCTACAGTGGAATATCTTCAGATGCTTCAAAGACTGGAGGAAAGCATTTAAATGCAACAACGAGGAAGACCCAAAAAGATGCTTAAGAAAAAATGTAGAGGAGCAAACATATTTAGATTTTTTTTTTCTGAAATATCCACAAATCATCTTTCCTCTATTCTTCTACATCTACTTAGCTCGAGGATGGGCAACTGTTGGCCAAGTCTAGTCTCCCATATTTTATCCACCCAGTATCCAGAGTTCCCTGTCCACATCCTGGTTGCTCTCTGCTCTGCAAGTTTAGCTCTGCATTATACTTCACTTTCAGATGGTTTCATGATGGAAAGTGCATAACCAGTGTTACAAACAAATAAAAGCACCACAGGAAAAAATAAGTAGTACTAATGAGCAGAAAGCCAGAGATGGTGGGAGATAGAATAAAAATAGTTCAAAGGTAACACATCAAACTTTGTTATGCTTGCTTAGCATTATCTTTATTTACCAGGGTTTTTTAAATTGTTAATGAGCCCTCAAATATTTCTTATATTTCCTTGAGATACACTGAGTTTTAGTGCTGGTAGAAGAATACTATTTATTCAAAAAACCAAGACCTTTTGCATGTTGTGTTTATTGGTGCAGACATTTTAAGCATGCCCCATAAAACATGAAGTGTTAGTGTGCAACGATGCATATAACATACTGATATCAGAGGCATTTTTCTTACATGTAATATATCAAATGGCCTTAACTGGTTATCATCTATGGAATTCCTTCCCTTTATCCCTCTTCCCTTTTTGGGGAAGGACTTATTCAGATAGTAATATCTGTTTACCTCTTGATTCTCTACATGTTAAATATGGCTTCTGAATGTTCCCAGGACAGGCATTTCTACCTTTGATCCTGGCTGCAATGAGGCCATTTTTCCAAAGCATTCCATGTCTACACATAAAGCAGTCTTCCACTGGGTGAGGGTGAATGCATTTCTGTCCTGGTTGCCATGTTCCCCACACAGTGCAGCTAAAATTCTGCATCATTATCCCCAAAGAAAAAGTCAAAAGAAGGGTATGGATTTGCACTGTGTAGATGAAAGTTTAGAAAAATATGATTCTATTTGTAATAGAAATGCATCAAAGTCAGGGAGGATATAACCAGGGATCTTGTGGGCAAAATTTATGAATGGACAACTTCAGGGTCCACATGGCTCTCAGTTCTGTGGTGAACCTTTATCTTAGATTTGGTCTGGACTGCTTTTCAGGTAAGGCTAATTTTCAAATCAAAGCCTGATCTCTGTCAGCCTTCCTAATATAGTACATCCTATCTTTCCTTTGGAAGTTCAGACTGATACTTCATTTTACCCCTATAACAACAACCCTATGAAGTAAGCTGGGCTGAGTGACTTGCTTCAAATCACCAATGAGTTCGTGGTCATGGGGACTTGAATTTGGGTCTCCTCAGTCCCAGGCCAATAGTTCAACCTCTATACTACAATTGGCAGTGGTTATTAACAGTGGAAATGTAGTGGTTATTAACTATGCCAGAGTGTCTCCAGAACCAGGTACCACCTAGATCAGACTTCACCTACTTGGCAGACTCCAGACATATTGTTGATTGTAGATTCCAGAATTCTCAGCCAACATCTCCAAAGGGCAAGCTGGCTAGGAATTCTTGGACTCATGGACAGTACATGTTAGAAGGGACTTCTTGGGAATCTGGTCCAACCTCTTGTTCAGTGCAGGAATGCATGAAATGATTCCCAACAGGTGCCATTCAAGCCCACATTAAAGTCTTAATACCTCTGGACAGCACCAAGTTGGCAAAGCTTGACTTAGATGCAGGCAGGGTTAAATACATAAATCTACCACCTGGTAACAGTTAATGTTGTTCTGTCTTGTCTCTCCATGTTGGCCTGTTAGCAATCAAACTGTGCTCTGGAGAAGACTATAATTTCTCTGGATAGAAGTACAGAGTACCAGACATTTTGTACTCCAGAATCCTTATAGTTTTTAACACCTGACACAAAGAATGTCTGTCACCAGTGAGAAATGATCTCTTCTCTTCTCTTCTCTTCTCTTCTCTTCTCTTCTCTTCTCTTCTCTTCTCTTCTCTTCTCTTCTCTTCTCTTCTCTTCTCTTCTCTTCT